GGCCATGGACTGGCACCAAACTGTGGCCCAGGGGGTTGGTGACCCTTGCTCCACTGGGCAGACACTGGGCTCACCATTCACTCCAACAGTTAACTGAGCAGCTATTTTGGCCAGCACTGTGAGAGGCAGGATCAGATGATGACCTCAGCACAGGGATTTCCTTCTTCAAGTAGCATGATGCAGCCCCTCTGGGAGAACTGCAGCTCCTATGAGCTTCCCATTTCCACTGCAGCCCACTTTAGGATTCCTGATCACAGGCTACCGTGAATACAAGCACAGTCCTATCCTAGTTAGCTTAGCATTTAATTACACGTTGGATATTCACCCAATCTCCCCAAGTTGAATGCAAGCCACTTGGACTACATGCTACATTTAAGATATGGTGCCCTTGGGGCCAGTGGATGGCATAGTGGTTACGGTACTTGACTCCCACATGGTTGACTGTGATTCAAGTCCTAGACCTGCCAGCTAGAAATTCATGTCAGGCACAGCTGGATGTGTGCCCAAAATCCTGAAAGAAGAATGGAGAAGAAGGGATTGTGGCATGGCCATTACCCCTAGGGGATGGTTTCTTACTTTCTCTCTGTGTGTCTCTGGAAAGTGCATGTCCCCTGTAGCAAAAATCTCTTAAAAAAAAAAAAAAGACATGGTGGGACCAGCAGTTGGCGTAATGGCTATGTCGCTGGACTCCCACATAGTCGACCGCGGTTCGAGTCCCGGACCCGGTGGCTTAAACTCACGCCGGGCGTGTGTGCGTGCGTGCCCAAGATCCCGAGAGGAGAATGGAGGAGAAGGGATTGCGGCGTGGCCATCCCCCCTGGGGGGTGATTTCCTGCTTTCTATCTCTCTGTCTCTCTCTGTCTGTCTGGCGAGTGCACGCGCCCTATAGCAAAAACCTCTCCAAAAAAAAAAAAAAAAAAAGAAAAAAAAATATCAAAAAAAAAAAAAAAAAAGACATGGTGCACTTTATGTAATGCTCTTCCATTAGGGAGAGTTGTTCATGGTCATAGCAGCATGGTAACTCTGGAGGCTTGCAAAGCATGGTTCCAGAGACATTCATACATTTTTCTAGAATAAAATAGTGCATCCAGAAAGTAATTCCTACTTGAGTCGTGTTGTTTCAAAGGCTAAACATTCCTCTTGTTATCCTGAAGAGTTTTGCTACAATTTGTCACCGAAATAATGGTTGCATTGGCAGGTTATGTTATCACCAGGAGCAATCTACTTGAAGGAAAAAAGTCACTCAAACCTTAGACTGTTGCCACCCTACCCACTTCATGCATCCTGGCCCGTGCCAGGGCCAAGTGAGAAAACAATTTGGCTGCCTAAGACGGGCCTTTATAAGCCTCCATGACTCTACCCCAGGGCCCAGGCTTGAGCTACACCAGTGCTTCAGCACTGAGGGAAAGGATTTTGTGCTTGGTTTCCTGCTGTACCTCCAGGGCTTTAAAGAAGCTGTGACACCCACACCCAGCAGATGCTCTGTCACACTGGCAGTGGAATAAGTGCCATTAAGTCAGAGTTCTGCACATGGTCTACTCCATGGGAGGGACGCCTGAGCTGCACAGTGATCACCTCCACACCAGAGGCACACGGGGGAACCATGGCCTCTCCCCAACCCCTCTGGGATCCAGTGTTCTTGAGAAGCCACTGAACCATGACAAATGTTAGCGCAAACCCACATTGAGCCACCATTTCTTCCAACCATCACACATTTTCCTAACCATAATAGTCCTCACAAGCCACACAAGAGGGAAAACTGTTCTGAAGACTGAGATCAGGTCTGAGTTTCATGCTCTAACAAGTTATAAGTGCTTAGAATTTTAATTCCAACTAAGATGTCCCTTAAGTATTTCTCAGAGCCTAAGTGTTACCTAGCAGAAGGGCTCTTTAGGTGAGCTTGTGAAGAGGAGGTAGAGAAAACTAACATTTTCTTTCCCATTTTAACATTTTATAATCCATCCTTTGAACCACAATGTTCTTTAACAACCTAAATTTTATTCGATAATTTTGTTGCATGACCTACAGGAAAGGCTGTTTCAAGGGAAAACGTTTAATGACTGAGAGAAACCATCAAAAGCTTTCATTTATCTTAATTTACTAAGTTGAGAAGCGGTTTTTTTTTTTAAGTTGACTAGATGCCTTAGAGATGATGTGATGATTTCTTGCATAGGGAAAAAAAATATTTAACTTCAGGCTAAGAGTCAGGACTGCAAAAGCAAGAGTGCGTGTGGCATGAAACATGAAGAAAGTTTGCCATGCAGCAAGATATCCCTTCACCCAAATGCAGGAGAGCAAGAGACAGCTTTTCCATCCTTGTGACCAGCACTCTGATGGCTCATGGTCAAGTCTGTTCCCACCCACCTTAATGTTTAATTAACAGAGCCCATCAACCCTCTTCTAGAGCAGGGTTACAGAAAAGGTAATTTGAGTACTCATTAAAATAAGCTAATGTTCATTTTGGAGCCTAGCATCTGTTTGTTTAGAAACTTTTTCTTTTTTTAATTTGCCAGAGGGCATGTACACTAGCCAAAGAGAGACAGAAAGAAAGGTAGATGACCAGGTCATTCCACAATTCCTCCTCCTCCATTTCTCCAGCCTTTCAAGGTTTGGGGGATGTATGCAACACACCTGATGTGTTTTTCAAGCCTCTAGATCCAGAATTTGAACTGTGTGGTCAGTCATGTGGCCTCCAGCTCCACCTTAACCACTAGGTCATTAGGGCCAGTCCTATTAACTGTTTTTCTTTGTTTTGTTTTTTTTTTTAAAGAGGTTTTTGCCTTAGGGCACTATAGACTGAGAAAGTGAGAGGGAAGGTGAGAAATCACTCCTCAGGGAGGATGGCCACACCACAATCCCTTCTCCTCCATTTTCTCTTGGGATCTTGGGCATGCATGCACCTGTGCCCAGCATGATTTTCTAGCCACCAGGTCTGGGACTCAAACCGCAGTTGGCCATATGGGAGTCCAGTGACGTAACTGCTATGCCATCTCCCCCACAAACAGTTTTTTAAAGTCAAGAGGGTGCAGTCAGAATCCACTGGTACTTAGAGGAAAAGGGGAAGCCCCAGCATGACACTTCTGAAGCGTATTCATGTTGGGTATAGTCAACATGCAAACAAAGTGATATGTAGTAACTAAATGTATAAAATTTAAATTAAAAAAATGAAAAAATTAAGTAAAATAAAAAAACTTAAAAAAAAGACAAGGTGAGACTGTATTTTTCTCCATATTATGAGATTAGTTTCCTTTTCTTCTTTTTAAGCCAATGCTTATTCACTATAGTTGCCACGGGCTTTTCATTTGAAAGAGCAAAAACAGGGGAACCAGCAGTTAGCGTAATGGCTATGTCGCTGGACTCCCACGTGGTCGACCACAGTTCGCGTCCCGGACCCGGTGGCTTAGAACTCACGCTGGGTGCGTGTGTGCGTGCGTGCCCAAGATCCCGAGAGGAGAATGGAGGAGAAGGGACTGTGGCGTGACCATACCCCCTGGGGGGTGACTTCTAGCTTTCCGTCTCTATGTCTCTGTCTGGCGAGCGCACGCACCCTATAGTGAAAAACCTCTCAAAAAAAAAAAAAGGGCAAAAACACAATTATCAGTTGTAACCAGAGAAGGAAAGAAATGAATTACAACCTGAACTAATCCAAGTTAAGGTGAGATAGATGTCTAAAATTTCCATCTTTTCCCATTATAATTGATGATTCTGGGGTAATGGTCATGAGGAAATGATAGTTTACTGGATTCATACGAAATAGGAGGTTGTTCTTTTGTTTTTGAGCCTTCTAACACTTTCATTCTGAGGTTCCAGCAGGTTAACCAATCCAACTTCCTCTGCTCCTACCTTTAAAAACACTATTATTTAATAAACACGAGTATATGCCCCACTACTTGGATATACTATAGGTAAATAGAGTTATGTGTTGCTTAACAATGAGGATATGTTCTGAGAAATGCATCCTTCGGCAATTTTGTCATGTGAACATCAGAGTGTACGATATGTCCATGACGCACCTAGGCTCTACCGTATGGCCTATTGCTGCCAGGCTGCCAACTTGAACGGCATTACCGTGTAGGTGATTGTAACACATCGGTATGTATTTGTGTATCTAAACTCATTCAAAGAAGAAAAGATCCACTAAAATAGAACCCAGGGTAGCTGAGGCTATCGGAGGATGATGGTGTGAAAACTCTGTATGGGGTGCCTATCTCTCTCTGCGTTCCACTCTGTCACAGAAGAAATAAACTTGGAACAATAAGTAAAATATCAATGAAATTTTATATACCTCAACCAATAATACAGTAGGTTATCATTATTAAGCGGTACATTATGTACATAATTGTGTTTTTATAGAACTGGCAGTAGGAGTTTATTTACATGAGCATCACCCAAAACAAGTGACACCGCAGTGCTTTATGACATTATGCCAGTCATCACATCATTGGGCTAGACAACAGGCATCTTTCAGCATTATGATGGTCATATGGGACCACCACAGTAAATCTGGTTCTTTCCTAACCAAAATGTAGTTATAAATGCATGACTGTAATTACCTTCTGTTTTCAGAGAACAAAATTGAGACGCAAGATGATTTTTGTTGTTCTATGTAGTGAGGTTACAGGTGACAGGCCGCCAGGCCCAACCACCACTGAAGGCACGGCTGGGACACTTCGGAAGGATCCCGTAAAGCCCTTACTTATTTGTTGAAAGGTGCTGTGCAGAGAACACTAGGACTGCCTCGCCCTCACCCTCCCCCCTTATCCCACCACAGCCCCCGACCCCAGCAGTACAGGGACAAATGGACAAGGTGTACGGTCCGGAGGAAAGGTGGGCCGAGTCCGAGGTCGGGGTCTAGGATCAGGACCCGAGTCTATGGCCAAAAGCGGGATCTGGAGTCTGGGCAGGCGGCGTCCCGATCCCTCCAACTCTCTGAGCCCCTGCTACTCCCTTCCATCCAACCCCGCCAGGGAGGCCCCTCGCGCCCCCAGGGCCCCACCTACCTTGCCCCCGACGGGCGGACATGCCTAAACCCGGGTCAGCGAGCCGCGGTTAACCCAACCAAGCTGGCCCGACCTGCGCGCTGAGCGCTTCCGGATTCCGTCAGCCTAGGCCCGCCCACAACAGCAAGAGTGCCCAATCCGGGTCTGGGGCCTCTTCCGCTAGCTGTCAATCAGTCAAGCGCCGGCTGAAAATTGGTTGGTACTGAGGGTGTGGGCGTGCCTGAGGCCCTCAGACCCCGCCTCTGGGAGCCTCGCTACGGAGCGTGCGCAGAGAACAGTCGGCTGGGGAGGGGCAGCTCTGACAAGCAGGTGTCTCCGCCGCCAGGAGCAGGGGAGAGACCTGCCACGGAGCCGCACCTGGTCTACATACTGGTCGAATTCAGGATGCGAGCGCTAGAAAGGACGCTGTGGGGAACAAGAGGACCCGGAGGCTTGAGTGGAGATAGGTCTCACTCTGTCCACGCACCTGCTGCCCACTCTTTACTCTGCCTGATCAGCTGGACCTAGCTTTGCCGGTAAACCAGGAATCGTCAGGGTGCTGATGTCCTCCCACAAGCCCCTCTACCTTCATCCACGCGAAGATCTGTCCTGATACCTTCTTGGCTGGTCTTCCTACCAAGTGAATCGCTTCCTCAGGGTCTCTGCCCACCCATGGCTCCTGCGCTGGGACATTCGCTCGTTTTGACCCCTCTTTCTTAAATTCATGTCTTAAAAAAACATTTATTGAGTGTCTGTACTTCCCTGAATAGCCTCACAAGAGGAGAGAGACAATGAAAATTAATAAAAACGATAAGGAGTGCCTCCTGTGGAAATGAGAGATATGAATGAATGAATGAATGAATGAATGAATAAAAAGAGAAGGAAAGGCGAAGGGGAAGTGCCCTTGGTCAGAAAGGCATCTTTGGAAGGCAGTTTGAACACAGGGTTGAAGCAGGGGAGGAAGCAAGGCTTAGGATTAACTAAAAGAGTGATCAGAGCAGAAGGGATAACACACCTTCAAGGAGAATGCCTGTTGTGTTTATATTTGGGAAATAGTGACAAGGCTACTGAGAAGAGAGCACAGTTAAGATCAGAGGAAGGAAGGTGTGTTAGTGGGGCAAGACCATGCATGTAGGAACCATGTTAACTTTGGATTTTGCAAGGAATGAGATGGAAAATCACTGGGCGAATTTGAGCAGAGGAGTAAAATGATCCAATGTACACTTGAAAGAAGTCACTTCAGCCACTGTGCTAAGAGTAGACATTAGTGGGAGGAAGCATGGAGCCCAATTTGAGTCAACTGCAGTAAGAAAGATGTTGGTGGCTAGTATCCGAGGGATATCATTTGAGGTTGTGGGAAGAGATGATTGGAATGTAGATATGTTTGAAGGCAAATAAATTTTCTTATTTTTCTTCTCTGACACTGAGAGAGCAGTCTAGAATAGTTCTAGAAGGCTGTAGTCACACAGATGTGGTAGCGACCCTTTGGGAAAATCTTTGCTGGGTGGTAGTGTGCAGTTTTAGACATGATAAGTGTGAGATGCTCATAAAATGTATAAAGGTACGAGAGCATGAAGTGAGTGAATGTAGAGAGAGACATGCTCAGGGACTGAGCCCTGAGGTGCTCTGATGTGTGGAAGGGAGCTGTCTTGAAGCCAAGGCAAAGAAGAGCTTGTTCATTCATGATGTTGATACCTCAAGCTAAGGACTGATAATAGACAGATTAGTCAGGGGTAGAACATCAGTGACCTTGATTACAGCGATTCTGTTGGCGTGGAAGAGACAGAAGCTGGATGGAAATTCATGGGAAGAATTGCTGAGTAGGAACAGAAAGTTTGACATCTCCAATGAACTCTGTGATCGGTCTATCTTCCCCCACCACCCCTGCATTATACCTGGTCTTACCGATGTCTCTAGCTCATGTAGTTATGTCCTGCCCTACAGTCTTCCAGAAGCATATCTAACCAATTGCCAAGATGACATAGGCATCCTCATCAATTCCTCCACTCATAACCCATCCAGAAAAATCACATGAGGTGTATTCTATTTGAAATATTTCTTACTTCCACTTCCTTGTTTGAGTCTTCATTGTCTCTTACTAGGATTTCTCCAGGTATTTAAAAATTGATTTCCCAAACCCCACTTTTGTCTTCTCACTTTAATCTTACCATGATCTCTTCACTTCATGGCAGCTGAAATGAGCTTTCTAAAATCTCATAACCATTAAAAAAATAGATAAATCACATCAACAGGGCACAGAAAAAAAATTCTATCAATAAATGCTTTAAATGGGAACCAGCAGTTAGTGTAATGGCTATGTTGCTGGACTCCCACGTAGTCGACCGCGGTTCGCGTCCCGGACCCAGTGGCTTAAAACTCACGCCGGGCATGTGTGTGTGTGCCCAAGATCCCTAGAGGAGAATGGAGGAGAAGGGATTGCAGCTTAACCACCCCCCCCTGGGGGGGGTGATTTCTCGCTTTCTGTCTCTCTGTCTGTCTCTGTCTGTCTGGCGAGTGCACGCGCCCTATAGTGAAAAACCTCTCCAAAAAAAAAAAAAAAAGCTTTAAAAAAGCATTTGACAAAATCTGACACTTGTTTATAATTTTACGAAATCTCTCATCCAGCTACAAAGAGAATAACTTCTACAGATTGAGAAAGAACATCTTCAAAAGGCCTACAGCTAAAATAATACTTGATGGTGAGGAACTTTTTCACTAAGATCAGGATAAAGGCAAGAATTCCTTGTCACCACTGCTTTTCAACATTGTACTGGAAATCCTCGCTAATGCAATAAGATAAGAAAAGGAAATAAATAGTATACAGATTGGGAAGAGAAAAATAAAACTGTCTTTATCCACAACTGACATATTTATCTATGGAGAAAAGCTCATTGATCTGCTCAAAATCCTTCATTAAACTGCCTTGTATATAGACTAGAATTCAAACCCTTAAAATGTCCTTAATTTCTCATTGTTCAGCCATATTTATTGTACTCTCTCCCTTGCTAACTTAGTTCTAGTTATTCTGACTGTTCAATGAAAAGAAAAAGCACCTAAGTCCTTCTGTCTCCTTGAGTCTTCAGCCTCCTCTTCCTTCTTTTATCCACCCTATAGTTTTCTTTCCTAAATTGTATTACTTCTCAGAACTCTGACAGATGCTGACATCTGACTTCAGCTGTAATTGTGTTATAAAGTCCTCAGACACTCACCTGATTCCACCTCAAACCCTGCTGATCACTTTCTTTGAAGCTAAAGGTTTTTCTCATCTGGGATAAGTGGGGAAGAGGAGGAATGAGGATGCAACCCTTAATCATTGGGGGATGGAAGTCAGTTGAAAAGATATTCAGCTTTCTACTTGCATTCTACTGGTACACTGTTCCTTAGAGAATCCCTAGCAGGACTGAGTCCCAGTTGCCCACAGAAGTAACTAGCTTGCTAATGCATCTTTTATTAACTTTCTCTTCTCAGTCTCATTCTTCTTACTTCCTTTCTCTAGTTTCCTGGGATCAATCATCCACATAACACACCTGCACCCAAATCTCCATTTCAAGATCAGTTTGTGTGAGAACATAGGGAAGATTTAACTTAATTATAACCCTGAGAGTTCTTTCCTGATACCACAAGCTACACTGGTTGGCCTATAATACCCTATATCTTTCACACACACACACACACAGACACAATCCCAGTAGGCTTATGCACTCAGCAGAGAGAGAGAGGGAGAGGGAGAAAGTATCCCGTAATGGGGCATAGTCAAAAGGAAATACCTTCTCCATTTCTCTGCCCTGAGGAGATTTTGTGCACACACATGCACCTGGCATGTTTTTCAAGCCATTGGGGATAGGATTTGAACTGCACGTTGATTGTATGGTATCTGTCTCCTTTAGCCAACAAGCCAAGGGCTGGCTCTATCTTTCCTTCAGAGAAGTAATTGTAATGTGTGATTTTGTGTAACTTTGTAAATGACTCTCTCTTTAGACAGAAAGTTCCATGAAGCCAGTGACAGTTACTCTTTTTCTGTTTTGCTGGCACATGGAGAGCACATGATAAACACTCAGTATATTTGCATTATTTTTGTTATTGCTATTTCATGAAAGAATAAGTAATTTTTTAAAATATGAAAGGATGGAGACAAATATGGAGAGGAGGGAAGTCAAAGTCAATTTAAAAATTGAAACATAGGTCTAGAACCTAGATTTTTGGCTGAGATTTAATGCAACTAATTGGCTTTGATAGTGAAGACAAATTGGAAGATGCTTGGAACACTAAGAAAAAAATCAAATTGTGGTCAGATTTATTTGATTCATCTTTGCATCTCCCTCATCATTTAGCATTTTGCTTTGAAAATAATCAACAATTGACAAATATTTGGATAATTGATTATATAAAAACAACTTACAGAGACTGTATCTGGTTAAAGATATTGCATTTCTGGGAAAGCTTGGTTTGTCACATTCCAAATATTTTTGATCACCTAATTCCCTTTTCCTATTCTGACACCTGTCTTTCTATAAACATTCATCTTGGTGTTTAAGTGTGAAAACAAACTTCACAACAGAGATACAGAAAAGTCCATTACTGCATTTCTGTTAAAACAGGGCTAAGTGACTTGCCCACTAACTTTCTAGTGATAAAGCCAGGAGTAAAAACAATTATGTCCCAGGTTGCTAGTGTGTTTTGCCCTAGGCCACAGTAACTTTCCTTCCCTACTGGTAGTTGGAGATCAGAAAGACAAACCCATGGATCTAATTAGGGCCTCTTAAAATACAGCCAGTGTTCCTAAATTTTCCAGACTCCTGCCAGTTATCAACGCACCTTCTGTTCTTTTCCTTGACTTCCATCATTTATGCTGCTAAAAGCAAACATGGAGGTTGCAGACCCTGTTTGGAGGTGCTCGCTGTGTCTGGACCTACGTTCATTAATAAAGAGAACTGCTGGTGGGGTCTGGGGACACCACGTGTATCCCTCACCACTGGCACAGTTCATCCGCAGGCAAGAATACAGGGAGGCTGGGTCTTCCAGCTGCCACCGCAGCAGCAGTCTCTTGCAGTGGGTGAAATTCTTTGCACACAGGTAGAGTACATCTCTTGTCCTGAGTCCTTCCTCTGCCACGTGAGCCTCTTGGCTGTGGAGAAGACTTTAC